GCCTTTCTAGCCAATCTTGTTCCTCCTGGGAGATTCTTGGACAGTTAACATACTCAAAAGAGTGCCTCCACATCTCAGATTCAGTATAGAGTTTCCAGTTTCCTGTAGAACTCAATCATATTAACCTTGATAGCTTCTCGATCTTTAACTTCCTCCCCGTTGATTATCAATCTATCAATGTTATTGTATCGCTTGTGGGATGTTGCCATTCTCTGGAAAAACCTAGTGTTATTATCCCCTTGTTTTTGCCAGAGAACACGGGACTTTTGCCTCCATCTAGATTCCTCATTTTTTGCCAAATCCTCCAACTCCACCAGAACTGTTGCCCTCACCAGTAGTTCATCCTCAGATAAAGTTCTAGTGTTTTGAGCTAGATCAATATCCACTAATTCTTTGAGAACACTATCTTTCCTGTTGCATAACTCCCCACACACTGATTTGCTCCAATCTTTGAGTTTTTGCTTCAACATTTTTAGCTTCACACTCAGCTTGTAGTTAGGGCAGCCCTCCACTTCAAATTCGTTCCACCAACTATGGACAAGCCCTTCAAAACCATCAACATTGAGCCACCAGTTCTCAAACTTGAAGTATGACTTCCTGTGGTCAGAGTGACTCTGGGCATGATCAATTATCTGATATTCCCGAAAGCTTCTTCCCATTCCGTTGAGTACATAAACCTGTCTAGTCTGGCAGCACTGTGGTGATTAGCACCCCTGAACCATGTGAAAATCCCTCCATTTTGGTGAGGGTCGTGTAATTCCATTTCTTCAATCCAGCTGGAAAAATCAGTCATCACATTTGTGATCCGGTTGCATCCTCTCCTTTCTGCCATAACTCTAACCGTGTTGAAGTCTCCACAAGTTACCCATGGTCCTTCGCATAGTTCTTTGACTGCTGCCACCTCTTCCCAGCAGTCTAGTTTCTCACTCCTGGTGTGAGGAGCATACACACCAGTGAGAAACCAACTAAAGGAACTTTGTACTGCATCAAATCTGTAAGTAATAGAGTATTGGCCAATTTCTACCATACTCCCTGTCCAGATTCTGCAGTCCCACATGATTAGGATTCCACCCCTACTCCCATCTGCTTCTATATATCCACACCTCATCCATCTACTAGACCACAATTGTTTGACAATGTTTTCAACCCCCTTATTCACCTTTGTTTCTTGAAAGCAGTAGATATCTGCTTTCCATTTCAGCAAAGCACTTTTAACAATATTCCTAGTGGACATCTTGTTAATCCCCCTTACATTCCATGATAGTAGCTTTATCTTCATTTAAAAGTCAAGTTAAGAACTCTCCCCCTTGTTCTGGACCCCTCAACCTCCTGATTTAAACTGGATTGTAGATTTTTTAGTTCATTTTTCCCAATCCCCCCATGCTAGGTGTTGTACTTGTACCTTCTATCATCTTGTTCTCCAAAGCAAACTTTCTCTCGTCCAATCTCATCAATAGGGCAAGAGTCTCTTCCCTAAAACCTTCAAAAGCAACTCCATAGGTGGAGCTTAATTCCAAAATGTGGGAATTAATCCAGTTGGATGCTTCAATCTCCTCTCCATTAGTTTTTCTAGGGATGTTCGAATCTACTGGTTCAACATCATGAATTTGCATGTTTTGTTCTTCACAACCAACATCTGTCTCCATCGAACAGTCCCCTTTTTCCTGCAATTTCATAACCCCGCTTTCGTCAATCATATTCTGCGAAGCCGTCTCTTGGTGAATATCTGATTTTTCCCCTTGTGTCTTCATTGGAGTGGGTCCTTTCTCCATAGAAATTTCACCTTGTGGAAGCTTCGATGGGGACTCCCAGTGGCTTAAAGCTTCTAGGAATTGAGATGCCAATATTTTAATTTCATTCATGCCCTCATTAAAAGGCATGTGCCCGTCATGTGCCACTTCTTTATTTTTTCCTGAAATGTTTGGGCTAAATTGGCCCAGTTGGCCCAAAGTTGCATTTAAGCTTTTACTGCCAGAAACCCTAAAGCTCAAGTCTGCATTTAAACTTTTATTGCTAGAAACCCTCAAGCCCAAGTCAACATTTAAACTTTTATTGCTAGAAACCCTCAAGCCCAAGTCAACATTTGGGGTTCTAAAATTCTCCCCACGTGTCTCTGCCATTGCACGTGGCTGGACAACTTTATCTGCTGCTCCTCTTAACACTACAGAGTCCTCTACAAAAACCTTTGGTCCATCAATGGGAGACCGCTGGGTAAAAACCTTCTCACTGGAGCTTTGAATGTTGTTTTCTCCGATGGTCACCTTCGCCGGAGCTTCCCCGTCCACACCTGCATCGTGTAGAGAAAAGCACCATCATCTATCGTCACTTCCTTTGGCACGTCAGACCCGTTTCCTTTGATTTTAATTCTCGCCCATTTAAGATGATTTCGCAGTTGGGTTTCTTCTGTTTCTATCCACCCCCTACTGAAGTCCCCAATAGCTTTGAAGGTGTGGTGCTCCCAGAAGTGTAACGGCAAACCCACCACCCTGATCCAAATTGCGTTGGTTCTATCTCCCCCTGCTGACGCACACACTGTTGGACTCCACCACTGCATTTTCGCCGGCAAGTTTCTCCATACCCAGTCCCCTTCGACTACTTGTTCCGCTGTTACCTTGGATGCAAATTCGAAAAGGACAAAAACCCTCCCCCATATCATAAATGTTCAGGCCATGGACTCTTTTCCATAAACTACTTGCCCATCTTCTCACCTCTGTCAAGGTAGGTGCCTTGCCTTTACTAGTCATAAATTCGCCCACCAAACTCTTCTTCAGTACCTTGCTTTGGCTGTTTGCATCTCCATTAATGCAGATTACCCCCCCCCCCCCCCCCCCTCTTATTATATTTTCTGGCATGTCCTTCCTCCCCTTATTAGTCCATTTGCTACTCTTTAGCATATCCACATAGGGAATATTACTATCAACCAGTCTATGTGTCTCTAGATTCCCCACACGCTTGTAACTATGGATGAATCTTCCAATCTTCTCTGCAATACCTGACCATCCTGAGTTAAAAGATAATTCAGGGACTATAATGACTGCCCTTCTTTTACCTCAACATTTATCAGGCTGATGTATCTTCCATATTTGTTAAATTCCTTGCGCAATAAATCTCTGTGAGATCATCTTTTTTCTTCGACCTTCTGACTGTGTTCCCCTTAGCCTTGAATGCTTCTCGCATAATCGAAGATATCCATTCCATGGCCTTGCCGGTGAAAGATATCCTCGTTATTGACTTTCTACTCCTTTCTGTCCAGTCATACCATTCCCTGCTGTGCCTGATGTTCTTGTAATGTCATATGATTTGAACCCTACTGCAAAATAGATCGTGTCGTCCGTAATGGAAAGGAAAACGAGCCCAGTGACAAGAAAGAAAAGAGATGAAAGAAAGAAAAAAGAGGAGGAAAAGAAAAAGATGTCCGGTGATCGGAAGGATCACCGGAGGAAGATAGTGAAAACTAGGCTAGATCATGTCCTCGGGAGTTGTGCCTGGGAGCTTTTTCTTTTGTAAAACTATTGCTATCTTATAATTTTTCATATCTTTCTAAATCTCACACTTATCCCTACTTAATAGAAAGAAACTCACTTATCCCTACTTATCAGAAAGAAACTCACTTATCCCTACTTGTCAGAAAGAAACTCACTTATCCCTATACTGAAATACAAATCTCTTAATCAAATGGACAAACAAAAAGGATTCATGGCAAACATCAAACGGTTCAAACCTAATGCAACAGTGTACCCAAAACGATTAAACCTCAATTCTAAGTATAACCTATTTTTCACCAAGTCCTTACGAATCCCAAGAGCTTGTAGGTCTTTTGAGACAATCTCTCAATATGATTTAGCTTTCAAAGACTTTAAATTATTACAGTCCACACCTTTGGACCAGCACAATAAGCAATTTAGAGGTCTACGTAGGATATGAAAATATCATTTCAGAAGACATTATCTTATTTTATCCTTTGTGTACCCGGTTGAACATAATGTCAGATGTTGTCATTTCTACTAAGGACTTTTTTTTTACATCTTGTCAATTATCTTTTTTGACAAAGGTAACAAGTTTGTTTATAAATCTTCAGCACTAAGGCTGGGATCCCAAGAATTTCTGCTAAAGAATTAATTAAGTAAATAAAAAAGTGTTTCTCCCTAACAACTTGAGCTTTGATTGTCATGCACTTCAAACATTGTATTAGTTAGAGAAGACAGAGGTCCTGAGGTTGAGCTCGAGTCTTTCCGCCACCCATTGCAAAAAAAGAATTTCCATATGCTCGGCCATCAAAAAGAATGAATCCGCATGTGAGGGTGTGTTAAAAGACATAATTTAGTAAATAAAAGTGAGCTCTCTAGCTTCACACTCTTCAACAATCTCTAATATTGGCTTATTTTGTATAACACATCCATCTTAACATTGTCATTGACTCATTTCTGCGATACACTTGTGGATTTATTGGGTTGTAGAGGTCTTATATCCACTTGCTTGATGCTTTGCACACTTACATTTCAGTCGTCCAATATGGTCTCTGTGTTACATCTTCACGTATCATGCATCTTAACTTAGATATTTGTATTGCATGCATTGAGAAAATGTAATCCATTTAATATTTGCCTCAACTTCAAGTTGATGATGTGTGTAAACCGTCTTTAGTCTCATACGGCTGTATACATCCTTGCAAGGAAAATTGCTCCTAGTTTTTTTGCACATTGTTGCTAAATCGTCCCATGGCTTTTTATTCATCATATTTTTGATGTATTATTACTTTTTGGTTCTCCCCACTTTGCTCCCTTGTTGACTCAAACCCACAAACTTGGGGTTGGAGGTGGAGGGTGCTTGCCACTAGATCAACCCTCTCTTGTCTTATTGATGTATTGTTACTTTTGGGTCTTGGATATATTTATTAGATTAACAGTCTGTACTTCCATATGTCAGAGACAAAATTATGGTTTAAAGTTTCTATCTTTTACTTTTGCAGTTGTTTACTATTTTCCATTCACAACTTGCAGGTTAAATCATGATTCACCAGAGGAGGAGCTGTGCTCATGTGCTGGAACAGGCAGGGATTGTAGTAACCTTTCTAGTCTCAAGGTTCGTGCCTTTAGACATGGACAGGTAGAAGCAGCTTGTATTCATAGTAGACGCGGCGGTCGTAAAGACCCAATAAACTATCTAAAATTGAAGTATCAATAAGCAATGTATGCAACAAGTTTTTCGGTGACTTCAAAAGAAAGCAGTTGATCATTAATTGGTAATTAGATTTGGAGAAAGATTATAAGACCAACTATACATGTATACTAGATAATAGAACATGTGACAAAAATATAGAAGCAGCTGAATCCAACGCATATTGTATGGTAGTCAACGTGAGAAGCTTTTCAGTTTTCAAAAAACTGGGAAGTCCTAAATCGCCAACTAGCTGTCAGTTTGTTCGTATTATACTTTTCTTCTTTGTAGTATGAGTATCATCATGTCCTTGCCACTTTGTCTTAACATGTAATGGGTCATGTTAGTTCAATTATCAGTTATTCTCACCGTTTATGGTCCATTTCATTTAACGAAGGGGATTCACATGCCAGAATAAGAAATTCTGTTTTATGGCCAGCAGCTGTGCATACACCAGAATTCAGAGTACTATTTTACTGTTATGAATTTGCTTTCTCAATATTTAATAATTTTCTTATGCTCAAATGCATTCCATTTTAGGATGGAGTTGGTTCTGAAGCTGCAATTCTTTTCGATTCTGGAGAAAGATGCAATATACAATTGAATGAGGCACTTTCAGTTTCTCAAAGGGGCAGTGATGAAAAAATGTGCGCCATATGCAAGCAAGCTGGAAAGATACTGTGGGTACCATTTGCAATTATGCACAATTATGTGATGATCAATAATGTCATACTGAGAAAAAAGTCAGCTCTACCTAATATCATTTGCTTTTTCTGTTTTTATTATTTTGTTCCCAAGACATTGTCTGGTTACTGGATTGTGGAAACACCCAGTAATGATTTTTCCATTTGGGTTATGCATTAATAGTTGTCAGTAGTAGTATAGCCTGGATTAGAATGTCCATGTCAATGCCTTGATTTTTATCATTTGCACTCAACATACTTTTCAGGATCTGCGATGGAAGAGGTTGCAAGAGATGCTATCATCTCTCTTGCTTAGATCCTCCACTAGATGATTTTCCACCAGGAGCTTGGCATTGTACCTTGTGTGTCAAGAAAAAGATTGAATCTGGTGTACATTCAGTGACGGAAGGAGTAGAATCAATTTTGGATGTTAGAGAAGTGGAAGTAGCAGATGCCAAAGGTTTGATGTAAAAGTATATTACATGCATAAGACATTTGTACTGGAGCTGTGATTATGTGATATGACTAGTTATTGACCTGTGTCATATCTCTTAATGTTGCTTGACTTCTGTTGATTCTTTCTCCTTACTATTATGTTTTCTTCTTTGCTTTTATGTTAGGAACGCATAGGCAGAAGCAGTATCTTGTTAAATACCATGGTCTTGCTCATGCACACAGTCATTGGGTTGCAGAGGCACAATTGCTTGTTGATGCACCATTGCTTATTGCAAACTATAATCATAAGAATCAGGTCAGAATTACTTCTCTGAAGACTTTTAGGGGTCGTTTGGTAGAGTGGAAGCAAAATTAATGCATGCATTAGCTTTGTGTATTAGTAGTACCTTGTTTAGTACACTTTTTCATGCTATGTATAATTAATGCTTGCATTAGTTATACAGTCTATTGTGTATAATTATTACCATGGATTTCTAGGTATTAGTAATGCAAGGGTTTTAATACATGCATTAGCATGGTTAAAGACCTCATTGCCCCTCAAAATATTTTTTACATCTTTTCCACCATAATTATGAAGGGTATCTTTGTAATAAATATTTTTAAACCATGCATGCTATTTTTAATTCACCAAACCAAACAATGCATAAGAAATCATCTATGCATAATTAATGCAAGCATAACTAATGCAAGCATTACTAATACACTTGGTTTAGCATGAGTTTTATACACTCTACCAAATGACCCCTTATATGTTTTCTTTATTCTTCTCGCACATTTTCTGCCAAGTTGAGGAAGTGGATCATTATATGCGCAAACACATGCAAAGAATGATATGCATTTATCATAACAAATACTTTTTTGGAGTTTTCACAAGTAGCAACTTTTCCATCATTTTAGGATGTGAGGTGGATCTCAGAGTGGACAGTGCCACATCGTCTCTTGAAGAAAAGATCACTGATGTTCTCCAAGCTGCATGGTCAAGATGCAGGTGAAAATAACAAATGCCTGTTTGAATGGCTTGTGAAATGGAAGGGCCTTGGCTATGAGTATGCTACATGGGAATTGGGGAATTCTAATCTTCTGAACTCACAGCATGGTGAAAGCCTCATCAAGGATTTCAATATTCGTCGCGAAAAGGCAAAACGGAGAATTGACAAGGTGCTTATTATCATGATATTGCATGAATTTCTGTCAACAATTTCACTTTAATCTGATAAGTGATAAGTATCTTGCTGTTGCTCAAGTACTTTAAAGTGTCTTGTACTAGTTGGTTTTATAACTCAATATTCAAAATTTTGCTCTGATTTTTATGCAACCTCAGTTTCCTGCTGTGTATTGACATAAACGGTAGGACATTCCCTGCACTAAACATAAAATTTTGGCTGTTGTTTGAGGATATTTTGAATGATTAGTCACGAAGAAATTTGTTATGTTTTGTGTGCTTCAAGTCATATATTGGAAGTCACCAACTTTGTAATATTATTTGTATGTCTTCTTCTGCTGCAGAATCATAAGGGGCAACTTGTCAAACTATCGGAACTTCCTGCTGGAGGTTCACTTATAACAGATTCTAATCTGCTGAACAATTTGAACAAGCTACGCGAGTGTTGGTTTAAGTGTGAAAACACCGCTGTCTTTGATGACAAGGTGAGTTCATTTTACAGGGAATGCTTTTCTAGGTGGGAAAAGAGATACTGCTAAACATTCTATATAATGCGGAATAAATAATGGATGGCTATATAATTATAATATATGCACGTCAAAGCAGTTGAAAAGGATTTGAATGTCGAGTTTGATTGATAGTTCTGAAGTTCTCATTTGATGCTTGGTCAATGTTATTGTTCTTCATATGCGCATTGACCATCTTTGGAAAAACTTTGTATTCCCGTCTCCCTGCATGGGCCACAACACCCTGGATCTTTGCCTCCAAGCTATTTTTTCCCTTTTAGTGCTCTTCAAATTCCAAAAAGAGGTGCTTTTTTGATCATCTTCTCCTCATTCAGACACCTTTGTTATTGAATAACATCCATTCTGAATAAATAATTTCCCTATCTCCAGGTTTCCATGGTTATTTTAGTTCCATTCTTTCAATTTCCCTTTGATAGCTTTGAGTTTTCCTGCAAGAATGTAATCTTGCAAGAATGTAATCTTCCCCTCGATGATCCATGTGCGATTTCCCCCTTCCAGCTGAAGATCCACTAGCTCCATATCTTCAATGATTTATAAATCTGGTATTTCTAGTGTAGTACCTCTTTTCCGAGGGGAATCCAATTATGTTGAAATATCCACCTACCACCCAAGGATTTGTGGAAAAACCCTTAGATCCCTAATTTCCCACCAAAATTCTTGTCTTTCTCTGTTGCAATTTGGAGCATAAATCCCTGTCATATGCAAATTGAAATCCCAAGTTTGAGACTCAAATCTACATGTCAAAGAACAAGAACTAGTAATGATCATCTCCTCCTTCCATATTTTTTTTTTTATGACAAGGGAAATCCGCAGCCGCTACCCTTTGGGTGCGCACAGGGTAAAACCCCCGCTCCTATGCAATAGCTCGCAAACCACATAGGAGAGGTAACCCACACTAGGCAAGCCTGATGCGACGAGCTCGACCCAGAAGGCAAACCCCTTGCTTTCGCTAGCAAGGAGTTTCGAACTTGAGACCTCCAACATAGAAGTCCCAAGCCCAAACCAAATTGAAATTCCAAGTTTGAGACTCAAATCTGCATGTCAAAGAACAAGAACTAGTAATGATCATCTCCTCCTTCCATATTTTTTCTTTTTGATGACAAGGGAAACCTGCAGCCGCTACCCTTTGGGTGCGCACAGGGTAAAACCCCCGCTCCTATGCAATAGCTCGCAAACCACATAAGAGAGGTAACCCACTCTAGGCAAGTCTGGTGCGACGAGCTTGACCCAGAAGGCAAACCCTTTGCTTTCGCTGGCAAGGGGTTTCGAACTTGAGACCTCCAACATGGAAGTCCCAATCCCAAACCACTGGGCCACCCCGAAGGGTCTCCTTCCATATTTTACTATTCCAAATTGTTAGATTACTCCATATCAGTTGTTTTTTCTTCTAAAAATGAGAAAGACTACCCTAATAGTTCCACTATCCTCCAAATGGCTGTACTTATTCCCATGAGTTTCCATATATTGCTTGGGAGTCCCCATGACTAATGGTTTTATCTCTCGTCTCTTTGATAGCTTGCAACTATTGGTTTTCTTAAATAGAGCCAATGCGTCCTTTTCATATCCATAAAGATCAACCCCGATTTGCTTGCTTAATTCTATAACATTCAAATGAATCCCTAAAAATGCGTCCATTTCTCCCTCAATCTTCTCCTCCTGCAACTATATCTTCAATGGTTTTGCTTCCTCAATTTACTAGAGGCAGACTTGCATATGCATGTCTTTTTTGCCCCTTAATAGTGTCAATTTGTGTTACCTCTCTTTTAATGTAGTCATGACATCTTAATAATCATCAACTTCTTAAATGACCAGTGGCTAAGGGTGTGGCCTAGCGGTCAATGAAGTTCTTGAGAACCTTGAGGTCTTAGGTTCAAAATTCAGTGGAGACAAAAAACACAAGGTGATTCTTCCCATCTCTCCTAGCCTTGGTAGACAGGGTTACCTGGTACCTGTTGCTAGTGGGGGGTGGCAGGTATATCTTGGAATTAGTCGAGGTGCGCGAAAGCTAGCTCAGACGCTTGAGTCATAAAAATGACTCAATCTATAACATTCAAATGAATCCCTAAAAATGCGTCCATTTCTCCCTCAATCTTCTCCTCCTGCAACTATATCTTCAATGGTTTTGCTTCCTCAATTTACTAGAGGCAGACTTGCATATGCATGTCTTTTTTACCCCCTAATGGTGTCAATTTGTGTTACCTCTCTTTTGATGTAGTCATGACATCTTAATAATCATCAACTTCTTAAATGACCAGTGGCTAAGGGTGTGGCCTAGCGGTCACTGAAGTTCTTGAGAACCTTGAGGTCTTAGGTTCAAAATTCAGTGGAGACAAAAAACACAAGGTGATTCTTCCCATCTCTCCTAGCCTTGGTAGACAGGGTTACCTGGTACCTGTTGCTAGTGGGGGGTGGCAGGTATATCTTGGAATTAGTCGAGGTGCGCGAAAGCTAGCTCAGACGCTTGAGTCATAAAAATGAATAAAAAATCACCAGCAGCTTTGGTTCTTGAAATTGAGGTAGATGGAGAATATTCTCTTTCTTTGTTCTCCATATTTCCAGAGCTGTAGGGAGTTCGCAAATGTAGACTTGTTTGCCTCAATTTCAATGAGCATTATGTCCATTCTATTAGAGAAAAGTGGAGACCGGTTTTAAAAGTTGACTTTAGTGAATCAAATTGAGCATGTTGTGAAACTTTCGTTCCACCACCGCTTTGGGTCACTTGGGCTGTTGAGTTGGCCCAAAATTTTACTCATTTAAATTTATGGCCCTCTGGTTGCTGCCACGTAGCCTTTATTTTACTTAGCTTAAATTTTAAGAGATATGTTCATGTACCCCCCCTTCCTCCCGCCTCCATCCATAATACAACTACCTACTCTGCCCTCCTCGATATAGGGCTTTATGCCCGACTATCTTTCATAGGCTTTGCTTTTTTTCCGGAGAACACCCTCGTCGGGGTTTCACACCAAATGGGTACAGTGAAAACTAGACCTGTGTTTGCAATGGTTATCTCCTTCCGGACTTCCCCACCATCTCCTTTAGTTTTAATTCTCACCATTTTAGATGATTCTTTGGAAAAGTTTACTCTTTTGTTTCCACCCATATGCCACAGGGATATCTTAAGGCTTTGAAGACTTTTTTTGTCCAGAGATGAATCGGTAAACCCATAGCTCTGTTCCATGTCCACTTCCCTTAAATCCTTTATTTTTGATTAAACATGAGAAACTTTCCTCCATTTTTTTCTTGTTTGTTTCTGGAAGAGTTGCTAGTCATTCTCTTCTTTCTCCATCCTCTTTGAATGTTTTGACATACCATCCACATCAAAATCAAATGGCTTCAAAGTTATGTGTGCAAACCTATAATTGTAGTATTACTTCACAAATATATAATTAATCTCTTTGTTCGTTGTTAATTGAAAAGTCCTTTTCGATATTTCTACTAGCTTGTATTTGTTGATAATAAGGGGTGATTTGATTTGAGGTACAAGCAAAAGTTAATCTTGGTATATAAATCAGTGTTGCTTTATACCATGCTTGATTTCCTGGAACATAAATTGTATACGTTGTGCCGAATTTAATACTGAAGACCAAATGTTGTATAGTTAATACATGTATAAGTTATATGGGAATATATGTATTATTTTATATGCAATAGCAACAACATATGGATGAATATGGTATTCAACAACCCAGTTAGCCACTCCAAACCTACTTCATCCTTAACCCTAAACCGTCTCATGTATGCCTTTTCCACCAGTATTTCTCCATTCTCGTCCTTGATAAACTTTATTTGGTCCACATCATGGACTTGACTTGGTCTGCCTATGTAAATTTTTATCCCTGTCTTTGCCCTTAAGCTCTTCATACAAGTGCTCAAAAGTTGGTAACCTACTGTAAAATTTTTTGCCCGTCTTTGCCCTTAGCCGTTGTAACCACTAGCTTTGCTTTCTTCTCCACCTTTTTATACTTCTTCCTATTCTTCCGCTTGTCCTCCTTGTCTAAGCTTTCTAATAATGCCATTTACGCAACCTTCTTAGCTTCCACTTTTTCTTGGACCTCCCATTCCACTACTACTCCCATTTATGTCCACCTACTTTACCCTTTGAGACCCCTATCACCTCTCTAGTAGCTTCCTTGATGCAGTCCACATACTATTTGCGTCCCCGCTACTCCTAAGCCCCCATAGCAACCAACCTCTCCCCAAGTTCCCTGCCTTTGGCATTAGTCAAGTCTTCCCATTTGATCCTTGGCTGGTCATAAAGAGTCCCTCCTCCGTCAATATTCAAAACCATAACTACGAGCTTATGTTGGGTTGTAAGATTCTTTCTTGGGATAACCTTGCAGTCCTTGCATAAATCTATCACTCTTACTAAGGAGTAGGTAATCCATTTAAGTCTTAGCCACCACACTACAGTAGGTTACCAAGTCCTCCTCCCTCTTTTGGAAGCACGAGTAGCTATGACCAAATGGAGAGCTTTAACGGTAGAGCTCCTCCTTCATTTCTATCCCCAGAGACGAAGCTGCCTTGTACAACATCATAGCCCTTGAAGTGGTCCCTATGTGACCATTAAAATCTTCACCTAGAAATAGCTTCTTGGTGTGCGCGATGCCTCTCACAACCTTGTCCAATTCCTCCCAGAAATGCATTTTGACCTTGTCCAAACCTGTGGTGCATATGCCCTAACCATGTTTAAAGTCAGCCCTCCCACAACTAGCTTAATGACCATCATCCTATCATTAACCCTCCTAACCTCTACCACTTGCTCCCTAAATGAAGTGGGTTTGAATGAGTTGAGTTGATAAAATAAGCAGGTCATTAACCTGCCCAAACCTAAACGGGTTGTGCAGGTCATGATTTTGCCACCCCGAAGTATAGACAAGCAAGAAAATACAGAGCTTTAACTAGAGCAACTTAATTACTTAAAACTAGAGAAGAACAAGAAAATTAATAGGTGAGCAAAGGAAACCAACTCAAGAAAGATAGAACTTGGAATCTACGTCATAGATGTCGCCACATGCTGCCACCGCCGCCTCCTATCACCGACACATCTTCCTCTCATGACCTCTGATGGCTGTCGGAAAATTTGGGTACTTGTGCAGATCTGACCGAGAACCTAGAAGTGAAAAGAAAAGAGAGGAGAAAGTGGAAACGATCTGGCTGGAACGGATTGTAGATGAAGAATAGTTAGACGGGATAGGAGGTGGAACTAGCAGTCTTCTGAACACCTTCATGTTTGCTATCATGTATCCCAGACAAGACAGAAGATACCAATGGTGGGTTTGGCACGAGATAGACCCTATCTTTGAAGAACAACAACCCCTCTCGAAAAGCCCAATTGTCATCCATCTCTCCCTGTTCAAATTGAAGTTCCTGAAGAACTTGATTTCTGACCGAACTTTCGGCTGATAAATAACAAATAACATATCTTCAACCTCTTCTCGCCGTGATAATGCATCTGCAGCAGTATTCAATCTCCCGACCTTGTATTCCACCCGAAAATCAAACCCCGTCAACTTGCTAAGCCATTGTTGTTGAGGAGTAGTAAGCCGTTGATTTAACAAGTATTTAAGGCTGTAGTGATTTGTTCGAATTAGAAAGGCTTGACCTAAGAGTTGAAGCCTCCAATGTTGAACTGCCTTTGCCAAGCCTATCAATTCATGTTCAAATGTTGGAAGTTTCATGTGTCGGTCTACTAACTTACGACTTAAAAAAGCAATTGGATGTACTTGGCTACTTGCTGTGGAAGGATTGCTCCTATTCTAACACCCGAAGCAATACACTCAACAACAAATACTTCTTCAAAGTTTGGTAATGGTAACACAGAGTCAACAACCAATGCCTTTTTAAGAGTTTCAAAAGAAGCAAGTGCATCATCACTCCACTTAAAAGAATTCCGCTTAAGCATACTTGTTATGGGGGCAACAATTAAACCGTAATTCAGGATGAATTTACGGTAATATCCTGTTAATCCTAAGAATCCAAGCAATGTTGTTGTTGATCGCGGTTGAGGCCAGTCCACCACGACTTCAATTTTGCTAACATCAGCTGACACACCTATGTTTGAGATTATGTGGCCAAGATAAGCTACTTGATTTGTGCTAAAGGAACATTTGGATCTTTTTAAATAAAGGCGATGAGCTTGCAACAACCCAAAGGTGATTCGTATGTGTGACAAATAATCCTTCCAGGTCTTGTTATGCATAAGGATGTCATAAAAAAAATACAAGTACAAATTGATGTAGATACTTTCGAATTACTTCATTCATCAATGCTTGAAAGGTTGAAGGAGCATTAGTCAATCCGAATGGAATGACAAGGAACTCAAAATGACCATGATGTGTTCTGAAAATCGTCCTCTCAACATCCGTAGATTCCATGTGGACTTGATGATAACCAGAGCGAAGATCAGGCTTGATGAAAAATCTTGTTCCATGCAATTCTTCAAGTAATTCCTCTACTACTGGAATATGGAATTTGTCTTTTACCGTTTTGTCATTTAACTCCCTATAATCCACACAAAAGAGCCATGTTTTATCATGTTTCCGGACTAGTAGTATAGGTGATGAGAATGGAGAACGGCTGGGTTGAATAATGCCTTGCTGAAGCATCTGATTACATTGTTTCTCAATCTTATCTTTCTGAAAGTGAGGGTAGGATAGGGCCGAACTACCACCATACTAGTTCTTGGCAGCAAACATATGCTATGGTCACAGGACCATAATGGAGGCAGATCTACAGGTTCTTGGAATAGCTCCTTGAATTCAGCTAACATCTTCTCGAACTCACCTTGCTTAGAATCCTGCAAAAGATGTAGTTGTGGTTGATATAGTTGTTGTTGTCCATGTAAAATGATCTGCTTCCCCTTTACGTGAAAGCTCATGGTCAATAATGCAAAGTCCCACAGAGTAGGCCCTAGTGTTTGCAACTACTTGATACCTAGGACAATATCAAAAGCATCCAAAGGAATCACATATAAATCAACACAGAAGGAATGATTTAACTACACAAAATTGCATTGCTGTGCAAATGCCCAAATTGAAAATCTTCTCTCCATTTGCCACTGATACATTGAGATTTCTTCGCTGTTGGATAGGCAAGTTTAAACGTTGGGCCGCCGTTGAGCTAATAAAATTGTGTACTGTCCGAATCTACTAAGCTAAGCAACAACTTCTTATCGATTACAACTTGCAACTGCATAGTATTTGCATGTTGTTTGGCTGTGATAGCATGGAGTGAGATGGCAGGCTCTCCACGGTCCGTTGGTACTTCTTCAGATTCCCCATCCTCTACTTCCAACCAAAATAACTTTTTTGCACCGATGGCCTTGAACATAAGGATCATCACAGTTGTAGCACAATCTCTTTGTACATTGGACAGCCATCTTGGCGCGAGTCAACTTTTTCACAAAAGGATTAGAAGCACCTATCATAGGACTCAGAGTTACTGGTGTAGTGGAAGCCATTGCACTAATGTTTGAGGTTGAACCATAGCCCCTTTGTGTGCTAGAATAAATTTGGATTTCTTCTCAAATGCTCTCGCTAGACTCATTGCTTGTACTTGGTTAGATGGGTTGTGCAATTCCACATCTTGATGAATAAAATAAACTAACCTTGCTGTGAATGTATTTACTTGTTGATCTATACGTACAGATGATGCATGAGCCAAAATTTTTTGGAAGTTCCTCTGATAGTCTTCAACTGAACTAGTTGTTTCAAGTTGATCAATTCTCCTAATGGATTGCTTTTCATTGGTGGGCCAAAACGGAAAGTACAATATTCCTTGAAGACCCCCCATGTTAAATTGGGTTCCTCTTATTCTAGTTGATAAACCCACAATTGCGCCTCCCCTACCATGTGAAAAGCAGCTAAACCTTCTTTTTGTTGGTTGTTTGTGTGCTGGTTAGTGAAGAATTTATCACAATGGTGAAGCCAAATCAGAGGATCTTCACTGCCATCATAAGTAGGAAAATCTAATTTAGTGTATCTGGGAACAATACCTCTTCCTCCGTTGTTGTCATAAGTACCAAAATATTGTTGTTGTTTCTTCCTCCCAAGACGCACCTCTAGTTGTTCACCTGCCTTGCCAATTCGTTGGACAGAAGCAGCGCTATTGTCTCCAACTTCAACTCCCTTCGCATGTGCCGTGGTGTGGATTAAGGTTTCAATTTGCTGCGATAGTTGCTAGAATTTGGCATCCATCCTTGCTTTTGAAGTTGCTACTTTTGCTTCAGTTTGAGTTTGGGCTTCGTGTAACAGATTTCACAACTTTGCTTCTACCGTATTATCGTCCATGGTGACAATCTCTGATACCAATTTGTTAAGGTCCCTAGTTTTGGATCGAGTTGCTGGACGATTAACTGAAAAGTCAGGCCTAACAGTCAGGTCTAAGCCCTTGTTCTTGTTCCTTGACTTGCCTATGATTGCTGAAATTTGCAATTCATTCGGGGAATTGCAGACCTAGGAACTTGTTTGAGAAAGTTCCGAATCTCTAAAACTTGATAAAATCCAACTTATTTTATTAATAATGTCAGCTCTCTTAAATAGAGGCTTACAATAGAAAGCGTCCTAATAAATTTGAAATTATAAAAGTCCTATAAAACTAAAATAATTGGAATCCTAATCCACTCAGGGAAGTTCTGTTCAACTATAACAGCTAAAACAATAATTCAGAAATATTAATCATTCTTGCGTCTGTTATATTGTTTTCTGACAAATGCATCGATAACATAATCCCCATGTAAATAATCTCTATTCAAACAATCCATGTATAATTAATACAACAAACAAAACAATTGCTCAGTTCTCGAGTTTAAGACAATAACCTGAAATGATCATTTATGGGCGCATAAGATATGGTTTGACTAATATGATAATATTTTTTGCAGGATCGTATAATGAAGATGGTTTTGTTTATTCTATCTTTGTCTGATGTCTGCTGTCCTTTTCTTATTGTCACAACTTCAAGTTCGCTTCCCCAGTGGGAAGCTGAATTTACACGATTGGCACCAAGTATTGATGTTGTAGTGTACAGTGGAAGTAGAGATTCTAGAAGGAGAATCAAGTCATTGGAGTTCTATGATGAAGGTGGTTTCATGATGCTTCAAATACTTTTATCATCTCTGGAAGCCTTCATTGAGGTACGGCTTAAAATAGATTATTTTGGATTTAATTTTATATATTAGGACCTTGACAGATATAATCAGCGCCAAGATTCCTAACTAGTAGCTTGCGATGATGTTTTCATCAGGTCTATTGGATATTCCACTGAAGGTTGTATCATTTTATGAAATGTTCTTTGTTTAACTCTTCTATTATATCCTATTTAGTTGGTCGTTAGTTTTAGTTCCCAATTTCTTGAGGATTCATGTTTCTCAGAGGATGAGAGCTGGAAGCTATTGGAAATTGACCTGTATTCATGCAGACATGCTTCTCCTCAAAAAAGTTATAACTATCTCCTAAAAGCTTGTGCACTTGCATGATTCTTGTGATTCTGAATAAATTCCTCCTTTGGCTAATTTCACCATTAAATTTTATCTGGAAGCAACTTTTAAATCCCAAGCGAAGTTATAAAATTTCACTAACACTTCTATATGCTGCTTTGTGGATAAGACATGACTATTTGTTTTCAAAGAATAGGATTTCACCTAATATTTGGGGTTAGTTTGTGATGATGTAAAAGAAATAAAACAATCTGTACTTGATAAAAAAAAAAGAAGAAAGAAAAGGCAAAATAATGAGCAAGTATATGTTAATGAAGAAATGCAGTTTCTTTCTTACCTATTCCTCCCAATCTGTCATTATGTAAATGTGGTACTTGAAGTAGAGAGCTACCTCTATAATCCTTGGGATTAATATTAAGATCTTAACTTTATAAAAATATAATCAAAAGAATATGTGTATTAACTGTTAGTTGTGTTAATGCAAATGGAGCTTTGGTGTTTCTAGTGTCTCTGGGTTTCTTTCTCGTGCAAGCTTTCTTGTACTTTTTAACATTCGTTGCTGCCTTTGAACTCAAAGGTCACCCTTAGTATCCAAGCAACTTTTAATTTTTTTTTTTTATTTAGACTTTGTTATGATTTTGGTTGATAGTTAAGTTAAAGTTATGTAGGAATTAGTCAGCAAGCTAGTTACTTCCAATTCAGTTTTGGGATCTCTCTGAGTTGGCAAATCTTCGTTTTGAGTAACCTAAATGTTTTTTGTTTTTGTGATAAAGGTAATGCTTCAGTTTGAAAAGGCGCATTGCTTTACTATTAGTTGTCATGTTTGTCTCCACTTCCTTTTTTTGGGTTAATTACTGCTTTGATTTGCTTGAGCCGAGGGTCTTTCCGAAACAGCCTCTCTAGCTCAGAGAGGTAGTGGTAAGGATTGCACACACTCTACCCTCCCAGACCTCACTTTGTGGGATTTCACTGGGTATGCTGGTGTTGTTCAGTTTGAAAAGTTTTTCTGCCGTAGTACCCTTGTATTGCATTGAATTCTTTTGGTGCCAAACAGTTCAATTTTTCTTCTCTATGTAAAAGAAACTTGGAATGTTGTCATTCTATCCTTTGGTGTGTGACTTTAGATTATAAATAGTTCCTAAAAGTTATGTTTTGCTTATTCCCTTGTAATATTATAGCCTTAGTTTTTAATACCATTATTCAATTGGGTTTTCAGTGTATTTTTGACTTAGTTGAGAGGCCAAACATTACTCTCTGATACTCATGATTTATGATAAGGGAAAAGTTCAAGAACAAGCACCCTTAGGTAATAGTTCTTCCTCCTCTCTGCACCTAGAGTAGTCCTTTATTCTGTATTTTGGGCTACTTAGCCTTTTCTCATCTTAAATATATTCCAAGATCCTAATTCAAGTGTTGTTCTATGCTTCATGCTGTGAACTTATTGACAAGAAATCCTTGGTAGATCTTTTTAGAACCTTTTGGTGTGGATTTTCACTGGTTTAACAAGAATATAGTAGTCATTCTAAGCCATCCTAAGTTTCATTAGTTTGTCAAGGGAGGTTCCACTTCTTATGCATTGTAAATTGGGGCGTTGCCCCCTTTGCAACTATTTCCTCTTCTTGTTTGGGGTTTTTGTGTGTGTGGTGGGTGGGTGGGTGGTGGTGGAGGGGGGGGGGTGGTGGTGGTAGAAAACTGTTGGGTCTAGCAGTAGGCTATGGATGGTTGTTCTTACACTATCATGTGGTTGCTGAGCTGTCTGTACTTGAAGTGGATTGAGCGAGTGGATCAAGTCCTGGGAGATGCTGGGCCTCTGGTTTTCCCTGAAGTATGTTGATGGATAAGCTGGTATAAACTATATACACAACCTGTAAGTTAGGGATGACATACATCATAGAGACAGAGATTGAAGAGTTTGTTAGAATATAGTCTTAGGAGAGGAGGTGAAACTTGTAAAATGCTGTTTAATCTTTTCCAGTTGTCCCACAAACATTTTGTGCTTTGAGTTTCATCTAATTATTTAGTTGCAACTTGTAACTGTAGTCCTGATGGCCTTTACTTTAAAGAAAAAGGAAACTATATTTCCTGATGACTGATGAACTTCCTAGGTCTGGGCCAGAAAATGAAACTTGCAGAAATCATTCACAGATGATGTTTCGAATTCCGCCCTAAAGTTTCTCTTTTCTGATTTGGTTTTCATTTGATTCCCCAAAGAATGAAAGTGTATTCTTCTGTTTACCCAAATATTCGAAAGTTCTTACTGCTTCAAAGTTCTGTAGCTGTGCTTCTTATTCTCTCTTATTTCTGCAGGATGTAGAAATATTGAGCGGCTTGAGTTGGGAAGTGACTATTATTGATGACTGCCAAAATGTAGGAATTTCTGGTCGTGTGGAGCAAATTAAACTGCTTGCTACTGGCGTAAGGGTGCTTCTTTTCAATGGTCCAAAGAAGGTATCTTCCATATCTTGCCTTTTTCCTTAGTATAACTGCTTTCATTTAACACATCATCCTTATAAGACCCTCTATTTTTAACAGATCACCTCATCTGAGTACCTTAATCTACTCACGTTGCTCGAATGTAAAATTGGTCTGGACAAGACTGGTGGCCTGGAATCTGACTTCAATGACCATCTTGGAAAAATGAAGAGAGTCACAAAGGTCACTGCACCTTGCAGCAAGCCTGAATCTTCCAAGTTCGTGGAGTATTGGGTTCCTGTTCAGATTTCTGACTTGCAGCTTGAGCAGTATTGTGCTACATTACTCACAAATTCTACTGCTCTTCGCACTTTCACTAAAAGTGATCCTGTTGGGACTCTCCGAGATATTCTTCTCTCTGTGCGAAAGGTTAGGTGTGTCATTTCATTTGACATTTTTGCATTTATGGATGATAGAAGTGTTGTTACCCTTTTTCTCTGTTCTGTTTTCTCTTCGAGATGGCAAAGGTGATTGGTTCTTGCGGCATTGAACATTGAGAAAAAGAGAGCTTCTGAACAAAAACATTTATCTTGACGATAATTAACTAACTAGCTTAGTGGCAGCCAAGGGTGACGCGTAGTGGTCAATGAAGTGGGAGGAGAATCATGAGGTCTTAGGTTCAAACTACAGTGGAGGAGGCAAATAGTACTAGGTGATTTTTTTCCATCTGTGTAATCCCGGAAGGCAGAAGGCAGAGTTACCTGGTACCTGTGCTGGTGGAAGGTAGCAGGTATCCAGTGGAATAGTCGAGGTGCATGTAAACATGCTTGGACACTAGTGTCATAAAAAAACTAGCTTAGTGGCACAATGAAAGTGAAAGCACTGTTTTGGAATTACGATTTACGTTGAACTGTTGGTGTTCCATTGCCATAGACAATATTAACTTTTAATGTTCATTCTCGTTGTCAGAAGTCAATGAAAGCCACTGCTATATTGATAGTTCTCTGAATTATATGTGCTTGCTTTTGTTTGTAGTGTTGTGATCATCCATATATTCTGGATCCTTTGCTGCAACCCTTCAATAAAGGGCTTTCTCCTGCTGAAATGCTGGAAGTAGGAATAAAAGCAAGTGGAAAACTACAATTCCTTGACAAGATGCTCGCAGAGATGAGACTCCGACAACATAGAGTGGTTGTCCTTTTTCAGGTATGTATTTCCGGTACTGTCTTAGAACTAACTATTTATTCATGGAGTCATATTTGAGTGCCTATATAGAATGGATCAAGTAAGATAGACTCATCTTGTCTATAGCATCTCACAACCATTTAAAGACAGTTGCTTGAACATATTGAGAGACGGAATTGAAGGGATATGAATAACAAAATAAAATTTGTACAAGAACCACATAGGCTAGACTTATGTGAATTATACACAATCCAGACAAAGGCCAACGCAGCCCATTTATTTTCTGAACTGCAGGTCATGGGCTGGTCCTGTTAACTGTCTTTAGGGTCAGCTGTGGGTTCATCCTGCTAAAATATTTAATGGTCCCGGCTCAAAAGTTGAACCTCTGAACCATTTTAAGCAGGCTGTACTGGGCCTGGTAATTAAACACGATTTCTTTTTTAAAATTTTCATATGCCTTACCTTTTGTGTTAAGTTATGTTTACTAAATCATGTTATCATAAGTAAATTGTTGAAACCATTCATAAGTAATATGGGCACATCTAGAGATATTATCTTTAGCAACAGTAACATTTTATTCAAATTCATCACCAACTTCTAGATGTGTATAAAATAATTCAGTAAATTGTTCTGCTTTACCTAATTTCATGACGATTTGATAAAATATCTATTTGACAAATGTCAGGAATAAGATGAAAGTATTTTTGAATATCTTCTTTCATCACAGGAATAGCCAGTCCAATTGACTTATGAATCTTAAAACTATAAAACAATGAACTTTCAGCTAAATGAAGCAATATACTCTGTTTGATTGGACATGGAGTTCAAGAAATAAATGGAGACTTTTGACACCTAAGCTAATATATGCAAAGTACCAAAATTCCCTTACAACCAGTAATTAAATGCACGGTGGTGAAAGTTACACATATCGTTTCATTTTTTCTTTCCTAGTAATGCCTTTGAATTGGGTAATCCAATAAAAGCGGATTCTTCTTCCGTCTCTCGTCATCCAGAGGAAGAATCACTATCTATCTATTCATATACACTAGTTACGGTAGCCCGTGCTAGCACGGGCCCACCATATGTTATTTCTTTATTTCAATTTATATGACATTAATAGAATTTTAAGAGTCAAACAAATTTTTTGTATGTCCTTTAAATATTTTTTTTTGAAAATGGCAACGTCATGGGTTGTACTCAAACCTTATATACAAATGCACTCTAGACACTCCTACTCTATTTCTATATTGAGTCTAAAACATCAACTATAGAGGCAGTGTCATTTGAGTATAATTGATTACACCAAAAACATAACAACAAAATGCAGTTTAGTTTAACATCCTGCACACTATTTTCTATGCCTTCAAAACATCTGGAATTCCTTTCTTTCCAGATTGCCCACCATATTGAAGCAGGGATAATTCTCCATCTAGTTCTGTCTTTTGCAAGGGCACCTGCCTCCTCCCAGCTGTACAAGGCCTCAGTAACTCCTTTAAATATTAAGTTGCTAATTATTGTGATTTATAATACTTTATGTAATTTTCAATAATATATGTTACTCTCTTTGTCCCAATATATGTGACATTGATAGAATTTCGAAAGCCAAGCAAATTTTGTGTATGTCTTTCAGATTTTGAAGTTATTTAATTATAAAGAGTTATAGTACATTTTATGTCATTTTCAAGTAATATATGTTACTTTTTCTATCCCAATCTATGTGACATGGGTAGAATTTTGAAAGTCAATCAAATTTTTTATATGTCCTTTAAATTTTGAAGTTGTTAATTATTGTGATTTGTAGTACTGTTTATGTTATTTTTAATAATATATGTTATTTCCTCTATCCCAATTTATGTGGCACTAATAGATTTTGAGCTTCAACCAATTTTTTTAGATGTCTTTATAATATTTTAGGTTTAATTACCTCTTTCTGATTTTTGAAGATCCATTAATATGCTTTCTTCATAATTATTGGTAGAGCTACCTTTCAGTGTTGATGGTTTAGCAACATACCCTTAAAAGAACAGACCAACGAAAGCTTCCTCTTATTGCTCGTTATGTGTATTATTAAGTAAACAGTACTCTAATTAATTCTACTAGAGATCCACTAATTGAGTGCTGAGAGAAATTAATGTGAGAAAAGTATTGAAAGAAAGATTTAATCCTAGTATATGTCAGTCACCAAAGCAGCCATGTGGTAATAAGAAATACAACTAAGCTAAATTTAAGTGGGCCCCATGTTTTAAGAAAGTTGTACGAATTATTTGTATTTTTAAGGGACAAATTAGTCCAATAGATACAAAAAGTTGAAACGCAGCCACACTACTCCTTTAACTAACCAATTGAATTACTTCTTTCATGTGAAATTACAAAATAGCCTCTTAGGACTTTTCTGTCAATTCCCATAAACGGGAAGCCCCTCACATTCACTCTTATTAATAGTAGTAATATCAACAAATGTGGTTCCAGGGCTCAGTCGTTTGCCAAGCTTTTATTTTATATCAAGTGGCCCCAAATAGTAATGTCTTTAAGGGTAAAACTGGGATGCTAATTTTTAATAGTTTCTAGATAGAAAAAAGTGTCATTCTTTTTGTGACCGGCTAAGAGGAAAGTTTGTCACATAAAATGGGGCAAATGGAGTAGTATTTATAGTAGAATAATAAAGCTAGAAAAGTTTTACATAATAATGTAAAATTGCTCTAATATTTCCTAATTACTATCTTTTAATGTGTCATCGTCTGACTAAACTAATGTGTTGTATGTGTCAGGAGTAACTTAAATGTTATTGTTTTGTCTAACATTGAACAAATTGAGTTTCACTTGGCTAGAGTATCTATGGAAGTTGTGCATACTCATAATTTCTGCTCCTTACAGTCTCTCTTAAGGTTTAGTCGTCTAAAAATAGTATCAACTACAAATATAATTGTGTTTCTGACATTTGCATTTGGCACTTCGAATATTTAAGGATTGTTTGAACTATCAAATTCAAAATATGACAGGCACTTCTAACATGAAATATTCTCGAAATTGTAAACTCAATTGACTTTTAAAAGTTTTCACTATGTTATCATCATTGCTGGATTGTTGAAAGCAATTTAAAGCATTTTAAGATCAGTACCATGAAAAGCAACTTGTTGCCAGAAAACTGGGTGTCTCCCTCCTCTGGAAAATGCTGTCACATAACTCAAGGTAGGGAAATATCACTGTCTAGTTTCTAGGTGCACATTCTGGGAGCACTGAGGGCTCTCCGGTGTACCTGCACAGGCAAGATATCAGATGGGGGAAAATAGAATGTACTTTGCGGTGGGGTTTGATTCTTATGACATCACTAGACTTAACTCAAGGTCGCAAGTTTGGTTCGATTGGGTGGAGCACAGCCGTAATCTGATGCACAGAACTACATTCAACAGAAAAACCATGGGGTAGATATGCTAGTCTTACTGGAAGCTTCAAGGATAATGAAGCACAGACAAGAAGATGTAAAATAAAAGAGGAGCATGCTCTATTTTTCTACTCAAGTAAAAACAAGTTTGCCAGATTATAAGCATTGTAGCTGTACAAGGTGACAACAAATCTGTCATTATCCCAGAAGTTACTTTTAATGTTGGTTGGAGGGACATCACATTTAAGATTAGTAGGTTCATAAAAGAAGACTCAGATCCAAAAATTCCATATTCTAAAACTATCATAACCAGTTAATGGAGAACCAGTAAATGGAAGTCGAAGGAGTCAACCTTATTACAGTGACCAATGTTATCAAAAGCAAAAAGCGCAAAATAGCTCTAAGGTCTGTTAGGGCTTTAAGCGCAAAATAGCTCTAAGGTCCGTTAGGGCTTTAAGCGCAATGGGGCTAAATAAAACATGGGCTTTAATGAAAAGAGGCAAAGGCCAAAAGAATACAAATATATATGTTTAGTGAAAGACCAAGACTAATAATAGTAAGCATTAATGACAAATATATGAGCAAAAAAATTCAATTTTTGATAAAGTGAAATATCAATTATTAATTGTCACCTTTTTAGAAGAGGCTCATTCGCAAGGAAAAGTATGCCATAGAACCTTGAAGATAATACTGAAGCTCATATTAAGCCAGGCGAAGCACTCAACATGTTTTAAGTCTTGCTTCAGGGCTTAAGCATGCCTTTGACGACATTGCTAGTGACAACAAAATTATTGTACTGGAGTGCACACAACTGCTGAGAATGGAGTGTTAGGAAGATGTTTGTTTGGCCATTTTGACAAAGAGATGAAAGAAAAACCAACACTATCAAATATGAGAAGATGGATGGACGTATCAACATGAAAGAATACTTTTTGGGTGAACATTTATGAAATGGCGGATGATAAATTCTTATTTGAGTTTCCAACAAAATACATGGTGAAGCATGTGCTCCAAAAGGGAATGGAGTTGGATAAATTAAAGATTCCATTGGAATAGTGGACTGCGGTAGTTGGATGTTTTACAATTAGATGAGGTAGAGAGTGGACATGGGTCAGAGCCATGATATTTCCCCTTCATCTATGGACAAATAGGATCTTCAAAGCAATCAGAGTGCAGTGTGGAGGTGGCTAGAAACAAAGGGGGAAGCATCTATGAAAAACCACCTTAAATGGGCAAGATTGAAGGTTAAAGGAGATGAAAGAAGTGTCCAAAAAAAGCTGAAGATTGAGGATAAATGTTTAATCTTTATTATATCATTTTGGAGTGAAACATCGACCATGGTGATTGCTTGTGAAGAGAAGATCCTTTTGGAGTACTCTCAGGTTTTAGAGATGCACAATGAAGCTCTTAGATTGGACAACTGTTTTAAAGAGTGAGGAGGTCACGTAGGACCCGTAGACTCCAACACACATGTCGGCGTATTATCCGGAGAGGAAAAATAGTGACAATTTTTCTCCTGAATTTGTTGCTATATTGCACAACAATGGCTCTGATATCATGTTAGAAATAATGGGGAATTTTTTAATTGAATTGTGTATCTGCACTATTACACTGAGCCTTTTTATAGACACTATATTACAATTCTTTTCCACATACGATGGCATATACAAATCCTTTTCCTATTCTAACAACTATCTTAAAGCAGTTTTAGGAGAGATATGATTAGTGATGAGGATATCTGAGACAAGATGAGAGTGAATTTAGTGGAGGACAAGATGTTGGAAGTGAGGTTGAGATGGTTTGGGCATGCGATGAGGAGATGCACGGATGCTCCAGTGGGATGGTTCATAAAAGGTAGAGGTAGACCGAGGAAGTTTTGGGGAGAGGTGATTAGATTGGGCATGGTGCAGTTTTAGCTTACTGAGGCCTTGACCTTAGATAGGAGGTTGTGGAAGACCGGATTATGATAGAAGGTTATTAGGTAGGAGTGCATTGTCCTGTTGTTTGTCCATACTAGTAGTCATATTATTACTCTTGTAGTTTTTTGTGCTTTGGTTTCTATTATTATGTGCTGTTTCTTGTACTTCTACTATCGTAGAATTTTGTTGTAATACTATTCTGTAACTATCTACTGCTTTTGTCACTATCTTTTCTTTCTTGTACTTTCACTACTATTTATTGTTTTTTCTTGAGGCGAGAGTCTATCGTAAACAACCTCTCTACCTTTGAGGTAGGGTATGGTTTGCGTACACTCTATCCTCCCTAAACCCACTTTGTGGGATTACACCGGGTTTGTTGTTGTACCTTAAGCAGTTGTAGGGTTGCTGCCTGGACTTGTCTTTAGATGCTAAAGTATTATTAATAACTTACTAAAATTACCTATGGAAAAAAAATGTAGACTGTCCTCCTTTGTGCAATTTCATGAATCATCAAGTTGTTTCTCCTATAAATTTGTCTGCTAGATTCTTTTGAATCTTTTTATGATTAATTCTATCTTTAATGACCTTCTTACTAGCCTATAAGCTTAGACATGCCATCTGAAAATCTCTCTGGCCTAAATAAGAACAAGTCCACTTTGTTTAGGATGTCCTACATTGATTGGGAGAATTGGATTGTTGTTTCATTTATGATTTTGGGAATCTTTTGACCCAGTTCTTCAGGCGTATGCTGTGTTAGAGTGTCCCTCATTAGTTGAGGGGATGCGGCGTTGTTTCTGTATGTGGTCTTGGTCAATTCTCACCTCATGTGTTAGCTTTTTAGGTTGTGTAAACCTAAAGTTTATATTCTTATCATACTTGAACAGGCATGTCAGTGGGCATCCATCCCATGTGTACCGTCAAGCATAGTGGTTGCTTTATTGCACTAGTGACTTTTTTTGTGTTTTTTTTTTTGGGGGGGGGGGGGGGGGATGGTGTTTAGGCCAGTTGGCTGCACCTCTAGTCCTCTACTTCCCACCAACTCAAGTATGGCATAACTGTGTCCGCCAAAGGTTAGGTAGATGGGAAGAAGTGGAACAGTACGTAATATATGTGTCACACACACCGACAAACATACATCAGGACACCAGCATCCTCTCTCTCTCTCTCTCTATATATATATATATATATATATATACATATATACACTGATAGACGTACACAAGGACGCATCATTATGATGTCTGAAGTTCTGTGAAAGTTTTTTGTCACTTTCTCTTCAATTTCTTCACCTGATTGTCAAAATCCTCCTCCTTGAATGCAGTCTATTGTTGGCTCTGGCTCGGGGGCATCTATTGGTGATATTCTGGATGATTTTCTGCGTCAAAGGTTTGGTGAAGATTCTTATGAAAGAGTTGAGACAGGTGTTGTTATGTCCAAGAAACAAGCTTCACTTCACAGGTTTAACAAGGAAAGTGCGCGCTTTGTTCTTTTACTAGAGAACCGTGTTTGCAATCCGAGCATTAAACTACCGTCAGTTGATAGTGTTATTATATATGACAGTGAGACAAATCCTGCAAATGATTTGAGACAACTCCAGAAGTTATACATAGATTCACAGTCTAAATATATCAGTGTTTTCCGACTGTATTCATGTTTCACTGTAGAAGAAAGAGCCCTTGTCCTTGCTAAACAGGACCTGAATCATGATAGTAACTTGCATAGCATAAGTCGGAGCCCCAATAACACCCTTATGTGGGGAGCCTCAAATTTGTTCAGTAGATTGGATGAGTACCACTCTGGAGGCATTCCAACCTCAATTTCAAATAACTCATCAGGGCAGTTGCTTTTAAATGACGTTATTAGTGAGTTTTCTGCAATAGTTTCTACAAGCTCTGACAACAAGGACATATGCCATTCCATTATTTCAAAAGTTCAAATGAGCACGGGAACTTACAGTGCTAATATCCCGCTGCTTGGTGAGAAAAAAATGGAGTTGAAAATCGGAGTAGAACCTCAAGTTTTTTGGAGAGGGCTGTTGGAAGGAAGAAATCCGGAGTGGAGAAATTTAAGCAGAGCAACCCCAAGGAACAGAAAGAGAGTTCAATACTTTGATGAATCACCAGATCCACCTAATGGTGATGATGAAGCAGGAAAGAAACGCAGGAAGGTTGTAAATCATAGTGTGGATTCAATCCCCAGTCACCCCTCACCTGGAAGAGGTGAAGTTGCAGCCTCCAAAGGAGGTATCCCTTCAATAAGCTATTTTCAATACATTTCCTGTTAGAGTTTGTCGTCTCATTTGTATAAATATGTTGAGAAATATCAGCTGCTAATTCTTAGTTGGATCCAGGTGCTCATGAAAATGATGATATTGGTGGGGAGCATGTTTCTAGGTCTCCATCTCATCTGTTGCACGAGGCAAAACCTGTCAGGCCAGAAGAAGGGAGAATACTGTACAATGAGCAGAAAAGCCTTCATGTCCATCTGAAAGCTGAGTTTGCAAAACTGTTTGAAGTGCTAAAACTTTCGGTATCCATTTCCTGCCTGCCCTTTCTCAAAAGTTAGTTTTTTAAAGTTGTAGTTGTCTTTAGAGAGTATACAGGTGCTCTGATGAACAGTGAGGGTAAATTGGCAATCTTCGCTTGTCCAGATTAATCATAATGCGTGGGTTTTGGGAGGGCTTCTGAATCTATGAATCTGTTACGTTTAAAAGAAAAGTTCTTCATGTTAGGAAAATATACCTTTCATATTCATGGTGAAAGAGTTGTATGCATTTGTTGATAGCTTCTAGTGAATAAGTATGATATTAACCTGTCGAAGGTTTAATCTTTTTATGTATGAGTTCCTGGCCTTGTGATTACCCCTGAATTGGCATCTTTTCCTTTATTTAAACTCTCTTCAAGTGGATATATTATTCTGCAGTTTTTGGCACAACAGTAAGCACCACAACATCCTTCCTGCAGTACTTGTACATCCAAACCTGTCCAAGCTTGGGAAACCTAGTATGGTTAATAAGACCTCCATCCATCTGCCTTGGTGAGGGTGAACTGTGCTAGTCAATTCGCCAAAAAGCAGAGAGTCAATTCACATTGACAAATGGTATAGAGCATGTTTTTCTGGGATAGGGTGAATAAATTTCATTAAAATGGCAAGGAACCCAAGGTATACCCCCAAACATAGAAAACCTACAATAAGAGATGGTTTTCTATGAAAGACACCCAATTTTCTTTATTTTTTTTTTGATGACCGATACCCAATCTTCTATACAACAAGGAACCTCGTGGGTGCACCAAAAAGAAATAAGGGGTAAGAGACTACTTCTCAACTTTACAAAAGTCATCTCCACCTCAAAAGCTGTCCTATTTCTTTTTCTCCAAACAACCCACATCAGTGCAAGTGGGGCAACACTACAAGTCCTTCATCTTCTCCTTCTTCCGTATTTCAAGCTAAATATCAATCCTTTCACAATGCCTGGCATCACACAATAAATTCCAAACATAGGATTTCCCACCATAACCTCGAAAGCAACCCGACAATGAATCAGGACGTGGTCTACATTTCCTTACAGAGAAAACACCAACAAAATTTGCTTGCCAAATAAGAAACACACGTTCCTTGGTACCTCAGGGAACCGAATTAGGTGGAAAAGTAACCCCTTCCAAATTAGTAGCTTTTCATAAAAAGTCTTGACAGAGAAGATACCATTGTTGCCCTCCCCAACCTCCATATGTCATGGCTACCTTGTGGGACACTTTGTTTGTGAAGTAAATCATTCAAGCTTTGCAACTTTTGTCACCTCCTGCTCTTGAAAATTCCTCCTTAAAGCTCAGGTCCCAAGAAACTTCATCTTGTAGCTTTCAAACTCTTTGGACTGTGATTCCTTTTGGCAAGAAATTCTGAGTATATCTGGGAACGATACCTTTGCATATTGTCCCCACACCACCTATGCTCCCAGAAACATACCTTCCACCCATCCCTCTACCTTAAAAGACACATTGTCACTAAACTCCTCCAATCCCCTTAAAATATTCCTCCATAATCCACATCTATAGGGCATACTATGTTGTTCGGACTCTTCAAAAAGGTCCACGGGTGCGTGTGGGATTCTCCAAAAGTAGTGTATTTTTGAAGAATCCGACACGGGTGACGCTTTTAGTTCTCCAACCCCCTTCCAAGACCACATATTTTTCTGCTATGATCTCTCACCAAAAAAACATCTTCCTCATCCCAACTCACCGTAATCATTTCCCTAATAATGCTTTATTGAAACCTTCAAACTTGTAACTCCCAGTGTTCAGGAAAGCGAGCGCTTCATCGCTTAAAGCGATGAAGCGAAGCGATGCGAGCCTTATACGCTTCACATACTAGAATGAGTATGTGAGCGCTTCATCGCTTAAAGCGTGAAGCGGGGCCTTATCGCTTTTTTCCGCTTCACGCTTCCCTGAACACTGGTAACTCCTAATCCACCCCAATGCTTAGGGGTCATAACTGTTTCCCAGTGCACCAAATGGTATAGAACATGCATAGCATGAGAAATGGCGTCGTTCATTTGATTGTTCCATTTAGCATATATGTGTATGTTCTGGCTGTTAAATAGCTTTCATACCTTTGTTTTAGTAGCTTTAAGTTAAATAACACAGAATCAGGAATACATGAGCAGTATGCATATTGCATTTTCATCTTTGGAATTCTACACATAACGGGATAGTGTGCTGGTATAGCTCTTTCTTCTAACACTTGCAGCATCCATTTTTTTAAGCCATCCTTCAAAATAAGCCGGTAAACTAGTTCAGCTTCCCATTAACGGGGTAAAATTGTTTCTACAAAAATAATCAAGGGCACTAAGTTTGCTATTTGAACTTCTTGTATTGCTGCCTTTGTGATAAAGGATAACAACTTTTATGTCTGGGTTATTCCTCAAATTTGTGAATTGCGTAGATTTCCAGTACTTTAGCAATATTAAGGTTTTATTTTCCCGTTCTTCTATTATCTGAAGATTTTGTTGCTATGTTTTTTTTTTTTGGGAAATGGCAACTTTTTCATGTATATATCTGTGAAATTAGGTATTGGGCCTAACTCACACCCCAAAAGCTAGCTCAAAGGGAGGAGGATTGCCCAAGCCTTATAAGGAGTCCACCCATTTCATTGACCACCAATGTGAGACTTTTGTCATTCTTTAACAATATCCATAGATATACTACATCAAAGTGTAGTCCCCTTCCAAAAGTGTTACAATCTAGGAAACCTATTTGCACTTTTTGTTACAGATAGTCTAAAACATTAAAAATATCTTGTCTGTCCTAACACTTTTTGTTCACACCAAAGTAATACAAAGCTAGGCAATTCATCTTAAAATTCTATAAATTGCTCTGCTTGCCCTCAAAACATCTTTGGATTTCTTTCTTTCCACACTGTCCACCATATGGGACAATCTTCCATCTCTCCGCCTTTTCCTTAGCATTATGAACTCTAATCCAACACTTCAACACTCCTATATTTCTTGGTTTCACCCAAGTGATTTTCCTCAAAACACATGAATAATCTCCATAGCTGGTCTACACATTTACAGTGTAAAAAGAGATGATTTCTTTGTTTGTTCTTCACACAGATAACATCTGGAGCACAATTGGTACTTCCTCTTCTTCATGTTTTCCCATGTCGGTACTGCTTCTCTACTTCTCTGGTCAGCAACCAAGTGAAGCAGTTGACCTTATATAGAAATTTTAGTCCCCATATCATCTTTCAAGGCCACTGATCCATCCTATTGTTTGAAGTGGTGAGATTACCGTATGCTGAATTTACAGAGAAGACTCCTTTGTTGCATAACTTTCACATTGCAGTATCTTCTTCCCCAGGTAGATTGTTGAAAGGGGAGAGTGTTGTAGAGGGCACCTATCCTTTCCACCTCCTCGTCATTTAGATTTCTCCTGAGGTGAAGGTTCCATCCCTGGCATGTCCTCATTTTTGAAACAGAGGCATGTTGCTGAAAGCTTAGTAGGTGTAGATCAGGTAATAATTGCTTCAAAGGTCTCTGATCTATCCACTTGTCCTCCTAGAATGACGCTTGCAGTCCATTCCCCACCTTGAAATTTACTCTAGGCAGTAGTAATAGCCATAAGTTATACTGCAACCATAAGGGGTGGCACCATTTTGCTAATCCATTTATCCTCTATCTCATACTTTGCATTGATGGCCTCCTTTCACAACAATTTTTCTCATGTGACAAATTTCCATAGTCACATCGTCATTAGGCTTCTGTTTTGCATCTTTATAGTTTTGATCCCGACTTCCCCTTTCTTCTTGCTTTTTATAGCCTCTTCCCATTTGACCAAATGAAATTTTCTCGTCTTCATTTCCTTGCCAAAAAAAGTTTCTTCTTAGCATGTCGATTCTCTTGATCACATTGTCAGGGGCTGGGAAGACTGACATCATGTATGCAGGCATTACATCCAGAACACTGTTGACCATGGTCAATGTAAAGGAAAGGTACCGACTCCTCCAATTTGTTAACCTTTTCTCACACTTTTCTGTTACCCCATTTCGTATCCCCTTTAACTTGCTTTTGGCTCTCAAAGGCATTCCTAAGTAAATAGTAGGTAGTTCCCCTACTCTTCCACATGGAAGAGCTACCACATTGTCCATCGCTATCACTTCATTGATAGGGTATATGTAGCTCTTACCCCAATTGATTTAAAACCAGAGACAACTTTAAAAATAAGAAAATCACCCTAAGTATCAGCATCTGGTCAGTAGCTGCTCCACAAAAGACTTCGAGTATCATCTGCATACTGCAAATGATTTATCTCCAGGTTGTTTATGGTTCTGTTGTCCACCTGAAACCCCCTGGCCCAATCTTTTTCTTTGGTTGTCTGTATCAAGTTACTTGGACCTTTTTTCCATGGCTAGGATGAAAAGGGAAGGTGATACGGGATCTCCTTGTTCAGTCCCCTTTGAGAGGAGAAAAATTGACAGAGGTTCCTATTTATTAGGACTGAGAACTTCACTTTGCTAATGGATTATTTCACCCATCTTATCCACTTGGCGCCAAAGCCCATCCATTGCATTATATCATTATCAAAAAATCCAAGTTCAAGTGATCATAAGCATTTTGGATATCAAGCTAGCATAGAATCCATGTTGTTTGTTTATTTGTCTAGACTCCACACACTCATATGCTGCATCCATAATTTGCCTTCCTTTTATGATGGCCATTTGTTGTCCGTCTCTTCTTCAGTCGTTCTGCCAAAAGCTTTGCAATATGTCACGACCCAAAAACTCAAGTCATGATGACACCTACTAAATCCCACCCGTAGGTAAGCCACCTCTTGGCACGGAACTAATGATAATGGGCCTAGGATGTGGAAGAAATAGACAAAAGCATAATAAACTAGATTTGAGATAGAAAGAATGGAAATGAGACCATACTTATATATACAATCCTTGAACGAGGACAAAATACAAAGATCCATCCAAAACCTGATGGATGCTAGTGCAAAGCTACTACAAAAGACCAAGTACAGACTAGACAT